TTCATCAGGGACAATGTCGGCTTCTAATGGAAAAAGAATTTTTCAAATCGGTCCAGTAGTTTCGGAGCCTATTCGAAACAAACAAACAAACAAATCTTTCCTCTTTATAATATTAGTATAGATAATAATTCTTTTATTGGAGTCGTATGTGGTTTAAATTTCGAATTCTATAAATCTACACAAAGAATGCCATCTACTTACGTAAAATTTACATTGTATGTAAGTATCTTAAGCGAAAGCTTCCCACTTAAAAGCTCTACAAATGCACTGAAAGCTCTTTCGCGCACTAATCCCAAACCTTTTAGCTGCAATCAAAAGCCCCGAGCGCTCGACGCGAAGCGCGGGACGGGACGACGTCATGCTTGTGGAAGCGCCTAGGAATTTAATTTACATTTTTAATTAAGTAAAGTTTTGTTCGAAAAGCTCTCTTGAAATAAGAGTTTTCTTGATTAGAGTTCAGTTAAGCTTGAAGTATGAGATTGATTAGTAGAGCTTTAATTGCTATTGTCAATTAGAATTCAACGGAGGACACTGACAAAGAGGCGTATGCATATAACATAATAATATATAATAATAATCTAAAACACATATTTTGTTTTTTTTTTTAAATACGTAATTCTAAAAAAAGTATTTTAAATTTTGAACCTTAATTTCGGTAATTTAGTGAAAATATCAATTTTATTTCATTATATTTAAATTCTCCGATTTTATAATAAAATATTACACAACTACTTACTATTTTTGTCGAAAAATTATTAACAACTTTTCGTACCTAATCACTAATCTCCGCAGAGCACTCCGCTCAAGCAATTCGATATTGTCTTCGATAATGGATTTAGATGTGATTGGACTAACGTCTAGATTCTCTTTCTTTTTTGTTGAAATAGAAAAAAAAAATCCATATAAAATGTACCACGGATGGCCGACTATTCAGACCAGAACGCGGTTTAAATTAACAAAATGGTGGTACCAATCCACACGGACTTAATATACGCCTTCCCATCAATTTACGTTATTTGCGTTATTATTTTATTGCTGTTGGTTCATTTTTAATCGTGTTCATAAAGTTTTGCGATCTCGTGAATACAGTAATAATTTTGAAGCCAATTAATGTTTCGGTTTGATAGCGTGTTCATCAAGGTGTGTTAGAAGTGAAAAAAGAGTGGCTACCCAAAGAAGAGTAGTGGTGGGCTAAAATAAAGAAAGAGGCAAATAGACCAATAGTGAGTTGTTATGTGCAAACAAATCCCATTCTGTATTAGTTCGATGGAATGCTCTCTAAATTTAATTTAGATTTAATAGGATTGTACTGGTAGTCATATCGTATAGGCCAAGATGAAAACATATATTTGTTTCCTGTACGCTTAACTCAAAAGATAACACTCTTAACCTACGGTTGTTGAATGTGAAGCTTTTATCTTCAACTCAATTTTTTTAGACTAAATAAATATATTTAGAAATTCTCGCCAAGGACTATCCACGTTAACACGATAGTATTGGCTGGCGACGGCCGGCTGCCACGTAACTAATTGATGGCGGGGGTGAATTTTAACGTAAATGCCGCTTAATTGATCGCGTTGATAACACAATCATAATGGAGATACCTATCGATAGTGTACACTACAACCCAACCTCGGTAATGCCCAAATGGGTTTTCACGCACCCCAAATTATGGAAACACTCTAATGTAACGGATTACTCGCATTAGTTTTAATTGGATTTTGTGTACTAATTGTAGTACACTGTTAGAATGAAGGGATATTTTCAAAATATATGTAATTTTATCGATTTTAATGTCAACATTCTTCCAAACACAGTTTAAGATTTGAATTTTCATTTGCTATTGTACATTTATTTATTTTATAATTGTACCAATAAAATGATCACCAGCTAAGGCCATCGATGACTTGACAAGAAAGCACATGACAAATGTCACCTCAATTATAGGTACAAACGACAGTTATAGGACAGTTAATAGTTGACAACATTTTGAATCATAGATTATACACTTAATATTTTTTGAATTAAAAAGAAGGAATAATAACACAATGAAAAATTATAAAATTCAAAATATAACAATAACATTTGAGTAACATAAAAATAAAAACTATAGTTAATTAAAGAAAATAATATACACAAATCGGTTATTATATTCTTAAAATTGGAACGCATGACTGTTTTGCCAGTAACAGTCAGAATGGAAGTATGCGGGCTTGCAATACGCTTTATCACCAATGAAGAGAAAGGGTGTATTGTAACACAAATGACACATGTTCTGAAAGTTAAAATTTTACCGATTAAAGATTCATCTAATAATGTCAACATATAGTAAGGGAATTATAAATCCGTGAGGACATAAAGTAGCTAGAAGCTGTGCTAAAGCTGACATAAAAGCGAATAAATAAGAATGTTCGGTGAAGCATTCTTGGCATGAACAAGTCAAGAGCCGGTGACGAACGATTTGACGTGGAATATTTATCCGGGACCGCAGCTACCGCCATTCATTCCACTTATCCCAACGCTCTGTTGAATTTTTGACACGTCTAGGAAGACACTGCCCTTTTCTGTGATAGCTTTAGTGTAAGAATGGCATTTAAATTCGTATTAGGGGGGTCTTTCATCAGTTTGGCTTTCAGATTTAAGGGGGAGACATGAGATAACTCGAGGGATCTATTTATTTCGGCCATGTCAGAAGCTTACTTGTTTTTTGTATTAAAAGATCAACTCTAAGTTTGTGTAACTGGAAATAGCTTTAATTAAATCAAAAAAGTAAAATGTTAAAAGCGAATACTGAGAAACTCATTATGTGCAGGTTCTCGCCCCCCACCCCTGATCGGACCACAAATCCAGCGCACAGCAATCCATATTAGATTTGCTGGCTCTCTCATATCCATTCTGAGATGTTCATATTTTATTGGGGCCAATAAAACGGATTCATGAATATGAGAAATGCATAACGAATATCGTATTTATGGATGGAGACGTGCTCGCTCCGCCGCGGATATGTCGCGGGTAATTTGATAGCCGCCTTTGTAACAGGTGCTGATGGGAATTTAGATGTGGTTATAAAAATAATTCCCTAGCCGAATGATATTCCCTTTTATTTGTATTTTATTTTAGAAGGCTTAGATTTAATAAAAACGACGNTGAATATGAGAAATGCATAACGAATATCGTATTTATGGATGGAGACGTGCTCGCTCCGCCGCGGATATGTCGCGGGTAATTTGATAGCCGCCTTTGTAACAGGTGCTGATGGGAATTTAGATGTGGTTATAAAAATAATTCCCTAGCCGAATGATATTCCCTTTTATTTGTATTTTATTTTAGAAGGCTTAGATTTAATAAAAACGACGAAAATGCTCAGTCTTCAATCTTAGATTTCTGCAAATATAATACGTCTGTAACTTAAATTTAACTGGCGAAATTCCAGCAGCGTACAAAATCTGTACGATCTTCATACGAAATCAAGAATCCACATATTAACTTCTCTCTCAAGTTTCAATTTAAATTTTTGCGTGGTTGTCTCAGCATTCAAGGAAAAGCATGTGATAACGCGTTTGTTATTCATGTTACATTTGAAATTCGACCCTACGGAACTCCTGTAAGGCTGAAAATTATCGCAAAATAGTGAAGTGCCATTGGTCGTTGTAAAAGAAGCTTTATGGCATAGTTTGTAGAGTTTGTTTGAAAGGGTGCGTATTCAGTTTAGTTGGTGCCGTTTGACGCCAGTTTGTTGGAGTAATAAGGTCTCAAGCGAAGTGGACGTAAGAAGAGGATATCGTTTATTCTAATGAGGTTTCGCAGCGAGACGTGCGCCACTAGCGTCACTCGCGCTCCACGCGACACCATGTTCTGACTTTGTCGCAATTTGTATTTCTTTTTTGAAACGTTTCAGGCTCATACCTTTAAAATATATTTTTAGTATAAAACTAAATTTATACTAAAAATAGGATAGGAGGACATTCACTAGCACTACTAGATTTACTAATAGATAGATAAGTTCAACTAGATTTGCTAATGTCAGGCATATCACGTCAAATAAAGTAGACGACTGGTCGTAACACTATAATCAAGTAACAATATAAATACAAGCTAAGTCGTGTCTAAGTATTTTCCGATCAACGGTGTAGCGCGTTCTGACCCGGCAGGCTGATTCTGACTCAGTGAGGTATCCCGGAACAGCGACAGCCTGGGCGGCCTGACGGACCGCTGTACCGCGGAGACGGGCGTCGTTGGTGGTTGACGATCGACTAGACGACCAACGACTCGTCGCGTCGGTCGGCGTCCTAGGTGTGACGCCGCGATTCTGGTTGTAGTGTTGACCGCGAGAACCCCCTACTTTGACCGGGTTCTGACCCCGGGCGACGACTGGACGTCGGGTGAAAGAGTGCAGGGGAGTCGTTTAGTGGGTAGGGTCCTAAATTCCATACCTTGTGCCCGCAGTCCGCTCCCAACATCTGTGGACTATCCAGTCCCGCATAAGTCCTCACGCGCCACTTAGTGGCGGGAACCTCGTAGGAGGTTCGATCCCCGGCCCAAAAAAAGCGCCAAAAAAATCAAGAAGGCTGGGACGAGAAAGTATCAATAAAATTGCAACAAACAATAACTAAACAAATCGAATCAGCAATTGCAGAAAAAACCTTGTATAAAATTCACAGGCAAAACTTATATTATCAAACATATAACATTAATGATATTGATATTATCTGATATTTCAATTTAATATCTGTGACTTCGTTTGATCTTTCTTCTTCTGCTCTGTACGTTCACGCGTTGTTCAGCCGATTGATATGAAATGTCGTATAGTTGTTATTGCCACTTCGGCGAAGGTTTTCGGCATAGGGCCACATACGATAATGGTCCGTGATTGTTTCAAAAATGGCTTTGATAATAATCCTAGTGAAGTGTGGTAGAAGTTAAAAGTTAAAAAGTTAAAAAAAGAAGATTTTATCTATTAAACTGACTTAGCTAATTTTATCATTCGTCATTTGTTTCAGGAATCGAACCCTGTAATGCGAAAGTGACGATATCAAAATGATTCGAGACCCACCTGCCATGCATAAACCCGACAATACAAACGGTAAGTGCTTTCATTTTTTCCCAACTCAAAAAATAATTACGCAAAAGCTGCTATATTAACAAAATACTGGCAAAATTTATTCTAAACGAATTAAGATAACTAAGATTCGAATCACTTATCCAAGAGAGCACAGACCTGGAAAGTCTGGCAAAATAAAGAGAAGCCATCCCAGAATAACTTAGCGTCGCTCGGTGGAGCAGGAGCTAGGCGTCTTGGGCATGACGTGGCAGGAGCTAGATCAGACTGCCCAAGACCGATGTAAATGGAAGGATTTGATTCAAGCTCCACACCCCAGCAGAGAGTAATAGGAAAGAAAGAAGGAACAAGAAGAAGATTCAAATCAAATGAAAGTAGTATGAGTGCGCAATGTCTTATTGCTGACGTCAATTTTTTTCATAATATTAGGACAAACAGGTCGCGAATAAAACGCGGGAAGGGTTGCGCCATAAACCGGCCGGCACCGTCCGTTGCGATATTAAAAAGGGGACGAACGATATTGCAATATCACATTTATGCGAAATGTCCGACACCGAGATCGTATTGATAAAAATAAGCGATTTTTTATTGTACCCAACAATGTTAGGATATATGTAAAAATACACGAACGAACTGATTTACGAAAGCTACGTATTACGTGCAGTGCCTTTGGGTGTTTTAATGAAACATCGCCTAATATGTAAATCATCAGACAGCTCATGGTAATGAGTCATAAATGGTATTTCTTATCGTTTTTTAGAGAAATAACGGGAACTTTTTTTTAAAACCACTATTAGGGAAATATAATGAGTTAAAGGAGTTTTTAATAATATCTAGCTTAAGTTAAACGTCAACCTATTTAAATTAAAATCCATCCAAAGAAAATACTAGATAATAAAGTTAAAAAAACATATATGTAGTAACACTAGAACAATTGTACATATTGTTATTAGTATGTGTGAATTCAAGTTGCAATACATAAATATTCATCTTAGTGCGCTCACAGTTATTCGGTAAAAATTTACTTTTCGATTTACTACACATAATTCAATTTATTTCTCACTTTGGTCTTATGAAGAATAATTTTTGCTTCACATACATTCACTGTCTGATTTGCTCGTTTATCTTAACTTAAATCGATTTTACATCATCGTGTTGATTATCATTTTATGGGACTTGAAATAATATATTTCCTTCAAACGTGTTTACTATTTAGTAAGTATTTTCTTCGGTTTTCGCGTGTCGTAGACATAAAGAATACTGTCTTTAGGTTTTAATTTCGCCTTTTATAATGTCACTATATTCTTTCCGATGACAGTTGTCCGTGACCACAAAAGCTGTAGAGTATTCAAAACGTCAGAAATAATTTAGTGATAATAAAAAAATGCGAGATTAAACAGTAAAAGTAGTTTTAATTATTATATAATAAATTATTGTTTCATAAATGTATATTCATTTAGGTAAAGTGGTATACTATTATTTCATAGATATACTATTCTTAAATATTATATATATTTTCGAAGTAAGCTATAACTAAAATTTACAATTTGCCCAGCATTACCCGAAGAATATTATTAAGTATAAAAATATAAAAATGACAATATAACCTCGGATTTACTCACAAGGAATTTTCAATTTATTTGCAAAACACAACAAATTCACATGAACATCGAATGCACCACGAGCAGTGGCGGAAAATTGCGGAGACAGCGCGGGTGCAGGCACTGTGGCGTGGCGGAGCGAGAGCGATGCGCGACTCGAACGGCCCGCTGCCCGACCCTGATAAAATTTATGGCCACTTCCCCTTTAAAACAATATTGAGGGCTCAGTTGGGATTTATGTCTCGCCGCTGCTGCAGCGACTCAATTTATTCTTCAATTTTTCATACAATAACTCACACACGTATTAGGAGTGATGGATGAAAAGGACTAACTTTCGGGCTTTAATAAGAACCTCCAGATGCGAATCTCCAAATTGGCTGAAGTTTATTGCCCACTTATGTCAGGCTTAAGTTTCGCCTGGAGCCTTTCTCTGAGAAAATAATTTATGATGTAAATTGTCTCAACCTAGTATTAGTTGTAGGTGCACGGGCCAAATTGACGCACTTAAGTTTTGAGCAAACTATGTACTTACTCAGATCGAAAATCTTATCCTTCAAAACTAGCAAAAAGAAAAGTAAGTCCTAAGTATTCAGATATCACAGTATAAAAAAACGGTGTACGAAAAATACGAACGTCAACATGAAGTGCAATTAAAATTTATTAAAAGACGTATTACTCGAAAACGTCTTTACATTTCTTAATGAAAGCAATTAAGATAAGGTTTTCTGCGATGAAATAATTGAAATTTTAATTGCTGAAAACTCTTTCCTTAGAAATCATTTACCGCTGCCATTAGGCTTAATTCAAAAATTAATTTAAACTTTCAGAAGGCTGAGTCGGGACCGTGGCACCGCCGTAAAGCAATATCAATTTCATAATTTTAATTAAAAATAAAAAAAAACTAACTTCTCTGATGACAAAGTCCCGTACTTTTTTAATAACGGAAATGTTAACGATGTCGGCAATAGGAGGGGTGGGCGGGGTGTGTTGCACAGACCAACCGCCATAGGTCAGCTTAAATTTTAATAAGGCGCCGGCTGCCTTCACCTTTACGCCATGTCACTCGGCACCAAACCGGACTTGATCTGTTACGGAAACACAGTGTTCACATTTAAGATTCCGTTGCAACTTCTATTTACTTAAAATATACTGTTGCAAAAATACTGCTGTTTTATTAGTATAGACGGAATTAGGTCATAGTACACTAGGTGTGAAGCGGCTACTGGAGTCCAACCATGTCATAGCGTAAAATAGAAAATTATATCACATTACAATGCGTTGGGCGTGCCATTTTCTATCGCTTAGTCGAAGAATTTTATTACTACTCCTACTACTCATTCAGTGATTGGAGTGGCATTAAAAATAAACTAGCTAAATCGTTGATTCTGGGCGAATGAGAGTTAGAACTAGCATCCAAAAGCGTGTCTCTATCCTATGTAGCGCCCTCTAGTGAGTGCGCTGTCAAAATGGAATACTCACAATGTAGCAGATTCATTGAAAGTTAGCCCACTGAGTTTCTCGCCGGATCTTATTTTATTGTTGTTTTAATATTAAATTATTATTGTCGATTTATAATTGCATAAGTTGATAAAAAAATGCTATGCAATAGCTTTACCGCGGCAGTCTCCGAGTGCCACGTCTTTTTTTTATTGCTTAGGTAGGTGGCTGAGCTCATAGCCCACCTGGTGTTAGGTAAGTGGTTACCGAAGCCCATAGACATCTACAACGTAAATAAATGCCGCCACCCACTTTGAGATATAAGTTCTAAGGTCATACAACGGCTGCCTCACCCTTCAAACCAAAACGCATTACTGCATCACGGCAGAAATAAGCAGGGTGGTTATACCTACCCGTGCGGACTCACAAGACGTCTTACCACCAGTAATTACGCAAATTATAATTTTGCGGGCTAGATTTTTACTACACGATGTTATTCCTTCATCGTGGAAGTCAATCGTGAACATTTGTAAAGTCTGTATTTTATTAGAAAAACACCGGTGCATCGCTAGATACGAATGCACCGGACGTCTTATCCTTTAGGCCACGACGACTTCAAAATGTCTGTGGCCTAGTACGCAAGATGCCCGGCGTATCAGGCGAGCCTTGCTGTCGGAGTCTAAATCCTTTAGCAGGTGCGAAATGTTCTTAGTCGATCATTAAACGAAGCGTGCTCACGAACGTTTTTTTAAGACGCAAATTTTATTATGTATAACCGTGTAATGAAATGAATATTAATTACAGATTTGCATAACTAACAGTTGTAGGGCACATTGTTATTACGCCTTGGTAAGTAACGCCGTCTTGTCTCTTTGTGCAGCGATGTAGTTCTGGGTTTGAAGTATCAGCGTCTTAGCTGTTATCAGTTGAGACTTCGATCTTACGAGGCCTAGGGATTTCGGTAATTACTCAACATCTAGGGTCAACAACCTCCTTGGCCATCTAAAGCAATACAAAAAGAACACATAATACAACAACATGTTATTTTAATTACATTTTCATTTTAGAGCACTCTACCTAAGCATATAAAAAGCCTATAATGATATTGAGGCCAAACATCCTGGTATCTAGTTGTTTTTTTTTTTACATTTTAATGGCTGTTAATGCGAAACCCGCATTCGGTTAATTTTAATTACGCCCCGCATAATGGATATCGCAACAACGCAATCAGCTCCATTGTTTAATGAGCGCCCGACAACTAGAAGCAAGTACTTTGTTTAACCATCTAAATGCTTGTATATAATATTTGTATATAGACAAACGAGTTGCATAAGCTATATAAGGTCGACGTCATTCCTTTAAAAATTGAAGCAATATGCGACCGTACACTGAGAAGAAAACAAATCTAAAAGTAGTTATAAAGTATTTAGATCTATAGAAACTAGTTTAAATTGGCAAAGTTAAAATTTCAAAGTTAATAGTTCAGTACCTTTTTTTCTGTTTGTCAAGCGATTATTTTTGTATATATTTTTTTTTATTGCTTAGGTGGGTGGATGAGCTCACAGCCCACCTGGTGTTAAGTGGTTACTGGAGCCCATAGACATCTACAATGTAAATGCGCCACCCACCTTGAGATATAAGTTCTAAGGTCTCAGTATAGTTACAACGGCTGCCCCACTCTTCAAACCGAAACGCATTACTGCTTCACGGCAGAAATAGGCGGGGTGGGGGTACCTACCCGTGCGTACTCACAAGAGGTCCTACCACCAGTGAAAAGACACACAGGTAAACAGGCTCACAGCCTATCTGACGTTAAGTGGCTAATCGAATCCATAGATATGACAAGGTACACAAATGTCGCTATCTAGAGATATGATGTTAAGTATACAATTGTATTAAACAGCTATCTCGCCCTTCAAACTGGAACGCGTTTCTGCTTCGCTACTGATCTTTCTCGGTTGTTATACCATAAGACCCTTTACCACC